GTTTTGTAGAGTTTTGTTAAATGCTTTGAAAGTAATGAGTAGGAATTTAAAAAATGAAACCAAGAAAGAATTAATATATTAACATGTTTCAAATGATTCCACATCCTTACCTTTAGTTCCAAAAGATATCATGATATCAGCAGTGCCATCGTGGATTCTGGTGAAATTCAGAGGCGTCACATCAGACCAGACTTTGAAGGCCTTTTTGAAGGCCTTATCCACCTCAGAATGGGGCATATCAGGGGTGTAGTTCACAATTCTATTCAACATAGAAAGTGTCAGTTAAACTTTGAAAGATTAGAACTATTTTTAAAATATACTTTCTTTGCATTGAAAGTTCTACTAAGTATAATGGGTGCTTTACAAGAATGGAATTCAGGAATTCTATCAGATATTTAAGCATCACCAAATAACTGTACTCAGGTACATATATTACACCTGTACTTGTGTGTGGTTTCAGATTGACTAGAATAAAAATGTTAAAATTCAAAAAAAAATAACTGAGTACTTGGAATCTTAAATTTAGAACATTCAGATGTAACTTTTTTTTATTCTAAAATTTGGAACTAAACAGGATGGCCCTGCAGAGCCTATGGAAAGAGAGGACCCTCTGTGCTCAGGGGCATGATCACAGATGTGGCTGATGTGACATTGTGAACTTTCTAGAATCCCCTCCTAAATTGTGGTTTCACTTCTAAAAGAAATATTTTGGGACATCTCTGAAGAATGATGTTGGGCTTAACATTAAGATAATAAGGCTTGCCGGGCATTGGTGGCTCACGCCTTTAATCCCAGCACTCGGGAGGCAGAGGCAGGTGGATCTCTGTGAGTTCGAGACCAGCCTGGTCTACAAGAGCTAGTTCCAAAGCCACAGAGAAACCCTGTCTCAAAAAAAAACAAACAAAAAAAAGATAATAAGGCTTATTAAATTAATTTATTCATTTTCAGATTTAATATTGACTTATAGACACCTCTTTTATAAATACTAAGTGCAATACAAACTTTCAATTTTGTAGAAAACACGACCAAATATTAAATATAACTTACTTCTATGCCTTTTAACTTGTATAAAAGCCAATCCTGAACTTGACTTCCCATTAAATACTGAAGGCGTGCTCCAGACACGTAGAAGAAAAAACTGACACACGCTGGGGAGATGGAGCCTCAGCTTACCTGTAGGTTAAGTTGGTGTGAGACCATTTGAGCGTTCGAGGAAAAACACTGTATTCACCCACATCAGGGACTCCACATCTTGGTTTTTTCATGATGTCTAAGGTGGGATCATCAAGTATGCCAGTCACCTCCAAGCCAAAGAAAGACTGCATCTCTCGGAGCCGATCAACTGTGGAGGTCACTGCAGACTTTTTTAGGATGCCCGCGAGAGTCACAGGGTGATAGTATGACTTCAGGTAGTGCTGGAAAAGAGACGAAAACAACCTAATTTTCCAGAGGAAGAAATTAGGAAGCACTACACCGGGATGATTAGCAGAATACTGTACCTCTGCAAACTCAAGGTCTTCCTCAGACAAGTCATCATCATCATCGCTACTGGGAAGGGGCAGGGACCAACAGTGAGTCCAGCTCAACAAGAAGAGAGTGGCCAGGACAGCTGAATGCATGGTGACCAGCAGTGCCCGTAGTCTCGCCTTCCCAGGGCACACACCTTCTATTTTATAGACCCATAGCGATGAGTCACCACTTGGGGATGTGTGTTAACTTCCTAGTCAGTCGAAGGTAAATATGCTTACATGGTCTTTTTTTTTTTTCCCTAAGTGTGGTTTGTGGCAGAATCTGAGGGAAATGGAAAATGAGGACAGTGGGGGATATCAAAACCCATCTGGCAAAATAAACAGCCTCAGCATATTTATGGATATAGTGGGGGAGAAGCAGAGGCTAGAATGTTTTCACTTCGCTGAGCAAAAGATGTTTTCTTCCTTTCATAGGAAAAACAACTACCCTGAGTTTTTCAGGTAGCAAGAATAGCAAATTGGTACATTTATTCTCATGAAGAGAAACAAAGTCCTGTTTGTAAAATGTTTATAGGCTAGTGAGTTCTCCACTGCACTCTGCCATGAGTAACAACAATGAGAATCTTTGCTGCATCCCCTCGTGGGTCTCAGAAATGCACCAGAACAAAGCTAGAAGTCTTTGAGGGACTGTAGATGGTTTTGAGTGCTAAGCTGGGATGTTAACATCCAGGCATGACCTTTGGATGGCTGTGGAAATTGTATGATTTTCCTGCATATGCAGGCATCTGTTCTGAGGCCATGCCGGAATGCAGCCCCTCTAATGGTTAGGACTATGTTTTGAGGGATTACTCCCAACCAAGTTTGAAAGGCATTATCTCATTTAATCCCTATAATAACCCAAGTAAATATTGTGAGAATTCAAAGGGTCTTACGCTGTAGCCTAAGAAGCTTAGAGCTCATTATTTCAGGAGGCCCTTGAACTCACCCCAACCCACTGTGCCACACATCTTTTGGATTGGTTTATTTGATCTACAGTGGATACTGTAGACAATCCTCCTGCCTCCACTTCCTAAGAAATGTGATTACAGGTGTGAAGAATCATGTTGGATCATTACAACACAACCTCTCTCCAGAAGAAATACTTCAGTGAAAAACAGATAAATGCCAGTATTTCTTAATATTAGTGCTTATTATCAAATAGCTTTCATGTTTTATTGATTTATTCTTTCATTCAAGGGCAATAAAGAGCACAGGGCATGAACACACAAAAAAAGTTAGTACCTGTTCTGACATTTTAAGCAGAAATAGAGAAAAACTCATAAGAAGATTAAAATAGACAGTCATTCCTTAAGAGAATGCCCAACAGTCGACAGACAGGATATTGTTCTGGAGAAGTGATTGTAGACAGCTGACAGGATGTGTCATCACAATGATGTATTAGCAAACTCTTGTCAACACAAGTCCTTATCTCAGGCTGTTAACTGTACACATGAAAGCAAGCCTTTGCTCATCACTGCTGGAAGGATGTGTGCTTTAAAACCACCCACTTGAAAACAGGGAGCTGAGTTGGCATTCGAAATGGTTCTGACAAGGGCTGCTGAAATCACTGGGAAATTTGAAAACACACAGAATGAGAAAACAAAACTGAGAGTAGGAATTTAGGAGCAAGTGCCACCTGCTGATTCAGAGGTGATACGGGACTTTTTTCAAACATGTCATCAGCAGTACCTAAGCACAAAACTAGAGAGAAGCAAAAAACCAAAACAGTGCTAGACAGCTTTAGTAAAGACCAGAGTTCCCAATTAGGACAAATAATCATTTGGGTTAGATTGAAAGTATAAAGCAGTTGTAAGTCAAAGAATTCTTGATATGAAGGGTTTGGTTCTCATTTAGAATTATGCATTGCCTGTGTTGGAAATGTCAATAAAAACTTTATTTCTAGGAAAAGTAAGTGACTTCACTCTACAAATTTCCCTCCCCCCTTGGGAACACGCTATAAAAATTTCTTTGTTCTTGTTTCATTTTCTTTTTCCCATAACCCTGTGGAATAGGATTATAAAATCAGTTGTTCAGTCAGTTGGATTGCTTGTTTGTTGTTGAGGCTGGGTCCCGTGTGGTCCAGGTTGTCCTTAAACTCACAATGTAGCTGTTGGCCTTCTGCTCATCCTGTTTCTATCTCCTGAGTGGTAGGATTACAGCTTGCGCCACCATGGTAGGGGTGGAATTCAGGGCTTCCTGTACACTAGGCAAGCACTCTGCGAAGTGAGCTACATCCCCACTGCTGACATACTCTTAAGATGGGAGAACTAAATTTGAACTTAAACAATGTGTGTTCACCGTAGAATGAGATGTAAGAACACCTCTACCTGGAGCAGAGTCAGTCATGGCATGATCCTTGGGATGTGCAGCAAAATATAGGACTCAGGATGCTTCAGTTTCCAAGGCTAGTAACTCAGGAGAGCATGTGCTGTGACATCCGAGCCCCGTGTTCCTCACAGGTGCTGCATTGATACTGGGTTCATTTACAGAACAGCTTAGGAGAACCTGTATAAAACAAAGGCGATTCTTTCTTAGCTTCTACTGAGACAAACATCTAAAAGGAGAAACTTGCTTTCCCGGGCTCCCCTCACACTGCATTTATGTTTCTGTTGTGTTTCACTAAAGACAATTTTTCCTGAATGCCGATCTTGGCCAGAGTCCATGAGAAAGCAACTGAGAACAGGGCAAGCACTCTTGCCCAACCTCAATTTCACTGAAAAGGTAAAATCTAGGTCCTCTGCAAGTGGCTAGTGGAAATTAAATAAATTAGAAAAATGAAAACATGTCTCAATGGTTTTAACAACAAACCATCTTAGAATACTTTTTAAAAAGCCTTAGTATTAAATAATGAAGCAAGGTTATATTTTTATAATAACCTAGTCCCACCATGTAAGCTTAACTCACTAAAATAGATTTGTTGTGTAACTTTAAACAAACAAAAATTCTGATTTAAAAGGTTAGACAAGCCAGAAAATGGCTCAGCAGCACTTGTTTTGCAGGCCTGATAACCTGAGTTCAATCCTTGAAACCCATGGAAAAAGAAGAAAACTGACTGAACAAAGTTGCCCTCAGACCTCCACACACATGCCATAGTCCTTGTGTCCACATCCATACACACACACACACACACACACACACACACACACACACATTATAAACGACAATTTTTAATGTTTCAAGGTATAATGTATAAAAGCAAACAATATTATAAACTGCATAAGGCTTGGAAAACAGAGGCTCTCTGATGGGGAATGTACTGTGTATGTTTATCTTATTGACTGTTAGATAAAATACTGTTTGGCCAATGAGACAGCAGTTAGACGGGACTAGGAGTCAAAGAGGATTCTGGGAAATGTAGTAGAGAAGTGCTGATCCAGGCAGGAAGTGATATAGCAAGGAGACTCATACTTAAGTGAAAGAGAAACAGGATGGCCCTCTTTTCCCCTCCGCTCCTGCTCCAGCGGCATGATGTGATCCACCGACCAGGAGGAATGCCAACAAGGCGTAGAGAAGTGCTGATCCAGGCAGGAAGTGATATAGCAAGGAGACTCATACTTAAGTGAAAGAGAAACAGGATGGCCCTCTTTTCCCCTCCGCTCCTGCTCCAGCGGCATGATGTGATCCACCGACCAGGAGGAATGCCAACAAGGCGTCCGATAAGATAAGTCTTATAAAATATACAGGTTTATGATAGTTAAGACTGAGCTAACAGATGAGAATCCTAGTCATTGGCCAAGCAGCTTTGGACCTAATTCAAGTTTCTGTGTATTCATTTGGGCCTAACTCAGGCAGGCAGCTGGCGTAAAGCTCACATGTGGCAGTGGGGCTCTGCGGCCTTTGGCGGAAAGATTTATCGTAACAGCACTCAGAAAGGAACAAATTATTCTAAGGCCTAAGACTTTTTACATTAACCTCCCTAACATACCGCACCATTTATCATTAAAGTTCATTATTTCATCTACGGTGAAAATTGAAGTTTTTGTTTTGTTTCACCTACCTGCTCTTTGTTTGTCTTACAGTGCTGAGATCTAACCCAAGGCACTGCACAGGCAAGATAAACTCTCTACCACTGAGCCACATCCTGGCCTTTCCTTTCCCTCCCCTTGCCTCCCCTCCCCTCCCTTGCCCTGCCCTCCCCTTCTCTCCTCTTCCCTCCATTTTTGAAGTATTCACACATACACTTTATTGGAATTGTTTGATTATTGCCATGAGTGTATGTGTGTGCACCCACATGCCATGGCACACACATGGAGATTAGAGGACAAGTCATGGGATTAGTTCTCTCTTCACCCCAAGTGGAACCCAGGGATGAAACTCAGCTTATTGAGCTTGGTAGCAGAAGTGTTTAGCTATTGTGCAGTCTTGTCAGCCCATGAAACAGTACCTTCTACAATAGAAAGGCTTACCATGTTGCTGGTATGTGTTATCCACAACCTTTTCAATCCCATTAAAAAAAATCTTCAGTCAATTTGGGTTGTTGAGATCTGTAATTTACTTTGCCTCATCAAGCCCAGAAAGTCAAGAATGAACTGAAAATGTTCACAAAACATAGCTTAACAATGTTGCATACAAAAGCTCAATATTTGCTTTTTCTGTAAATATGCTCTAGTTAGTTAATTTCATAAAATTATAGTCCAGATTTTGTGGTGAGATGAACTGCCAAGGAAGAATTCTACCTCAGCCTGGTCCTAGTATGGTGTCAATCCTCGAGTTCTTGCCCATCATGAGGAGATGCTCATCCTAGGGTTAGGGCCAGATACAGGGGCATCCACGTGGTGAGGACTCCTCAGAATTCAAGCTCACCAATGCCCTTGGACATCCATGGAGCACATGGCCATGCAAAGGTCCCTGTTCTCTTCATGTCAGAAATAAGAAGTCTTGGCAGAAAAGTTAAGACTGAGCAGCTTGAACACAGTTAAGACAATAAGCAAAAGCACAATAATTAGCATCTGGACCCTCAAGAAATCCTTATGAGCTGAGGGCTAAAACACTCCTTCATTTTGTCTGTCCAGTGGTTTAATCCTTTATAAACAGTGGCTACAAACATAAGGACATAAGTTTATGATTAGGTACAGCAACTTGTGGTAGTTTGAATGTAATTGGCCCCAAAATCTCACAGGGAGTGACACTATTAGGAGGTG